ACCATAAAAGCAAACTAGGAAAGCTAGAACTGGAAAAATCCTACTAGGGAAACATACAATATGATTAAACCAGAGATTCTTCTGAGAACAGGTATGTGTGAGGGGTAGATTGTGATGCTAATGAACAGCACACACTTGGAATCTTCAAAGGAGCAGGAAACCAGACTCCTTCCAAGGGCAGGGGTGATGCATTTAGAGAAATAACACCCTGGGATTGTCACAGGCAGCTCTGTGTTATACATGGCAAGGCATAGTGCCAGAATCCATGTACTTTCAAATCAATTTGCAAATCCCTTGGATTATCAAGAGTTTTATTTGCCTTTAGAGTGGACCAGCCTTATACACCATAAACATTTCATTCAGGCATTAAGTTCTGGGCTCTGCATCTCATTTACTTAGCACTGCTCCTGCTGAGAGCCTACCTTCCCTACAATTTTCTTCAACTGAGCCTAATGCAGTCAGGCTATGATCTCCAGTCACTTAAAGCTGAAAATAGCTTTTCATATATCACTTACCTCCCATTCCTCCTCAGGTTTACATACAGATGCTCTGGTGTTGTGTGCAGAATCATGACTCCCCAAAGCTAGTCCGTCCACATCCTAATCCCCCAAACCTGTGACTATGTTACCTTACGTATCAAAGAGGACTTTGTGGATGTGATTTGGTTAGGGACCTTGAAATGGGACGATTATCCTGGGTTATCCAAATGGGCCCAATGTAGTCACAAGGGTCCCTAAAAGATGGAAGGGAAGGGCAGAAGGTACAGAGAAAGAGATGTGATAATGGGAACAGAGGTCAAGGCTTGCATCCTCAACAGAGTCTACTGTCTTCCCTCTTGAGGTCAAATCTCTTCTGTATGGCCTCCTTCTGTATCCTGAGCTTCACCTTCCCAGCAACTATCACCACCACAACTAAAGACAGTTTGTGTGATTATTTGACTAATGTCAGTGTCCTTTACTAACACACATGAAAACAAGGACCACGCCAGATTTTGCTTCCTTCTGAATTCCCAGCCCACAGCAGGCACTCAATAAATATTTGCTGAATAAATGAGCAAATGAAAGGGCGAACAGGATCTAAACCTCCTGTGGTTCTGAGTATTCTTTAGTGTGGGTGGAAACACAGCAGTCCATGAGGTATCCCACTGACGAGCTCTTGGCTTTTTGTTTTCCTATCTTGCTCCAAACAGAATATTTATCTTCACATATGGTCTTAATACATCTCTGCTGAGAGAACAGCCTATCTGTAACTCCAATCAATAGCTCATAGAGTTTGTAGAGGTGGAAAATTTCCTTTTTCTATGTCATGATTTGTATTCAATTATTCTGATTTTAAGCCTTGACCCCATTGCCCCATCCATGCACAATGATCTCTGTTGTTAGACTGGAGATCCCCCGCTGTTTTCCTCCCCTCTGAATGTGAAAGACCATCCACTTATTCCAAGACTGAGGTCCTGAGCCTGGTTTTGAAATATCCCAGGGGAATCCACTTTCAAATCATCAAAACAAACTTTATTATATTTCACTTCAACCTTCTTGTACTCCCATGTATATTTTTAAAGGAAGTTGTGGGTGAGATTACAAAAAAATAAACAGTTACAAATATTGGAAAGGTAGATTTACTTGGCTCAGTCAGTTATTGCACACCAACTATGTGCAGAACTCTGAAATAATTTTTTTTTGGCACTCTCCTATTCCACCACAATTGATCACCTGTATCTGCAGACCAGTTGGAACAGTCCCACATTTGACCCTCACCACTCACCTGGGAGAAAGACAAGGTAGGTGTTACTAATCTCTTTAAGAAGTTGCAAGGTAAATTGCTCACTCTCCATTTACTGGGTGTTTCATCTTTGTTTTCCTGGTGCCTCTCCTGCTAACACGTAGTAGTCCCAGGTAAGTATTTTTTGAAGGAATAAATGAATGTCTGGCTTCTTTCTAATAGGAGTGTTTTGACTGACTTGCCCAACATTACCCAGTTAGTCAATGAAGGGCCTTGGATTTGCAACCTTGGCCATCTGGCTCCAAGCCCAGTGCCCTTTCCTCTCTACAGTCAGGAGAGGAGTCCTGGAGAATAATGAGGGATAGTGGGGATGAGAAGTTAAACACTGCTTTGTACAGGAAGAGTCCTGTGTGGATGGTGGACACACAATGAGGAGTTTAAGCCTCTTTGGGCAGAGAAAAGTAAGCACAGAAGCTGGAAAGCATTCAGTTCACTCCATCAAGCAGCAGGAAGAATGTAGATAGATGATAGGCACAAACAAATGAGCAGTGATGCCCAGAATCTTCTCCCTGCCCCAGCTGCAGCCCCATAAACCAGAGAGAACACCAAAAACTAAGTGAGGTGGGCACACCCTGACATGGCACTCAGTCCAACCCAGGAGATTTTATAGCCCTTGGGATGTTTAAAGAAGCAAAAGACCTGGAGGATATGTATTTCTAGCCTATTAAAGAAAGTTTATTTTAAAATATTTAACATTTCTTTATTAAAGGCATACAAGCAGGATATAAGCTCTATAAACTTTCCAAGGAGAGAACATTGCTAGCATTCCAAATGGAGAAATTACTGCCTTGTGTGAAAACCCAGTCTTGCCTATTTCACTTTACAGATGGCCGCATATGGAATATTTTTCTTACAAGATCATAATGCATAATGGGCTTTTGAAAATTAAAATTGTAGCTGGATTTTTCTTACTGCCTCATTACTATACTAGTTAGGAAGGAGGTTTGTGGTTAATTCTCAGGGCAGGCTTGCCTAAACACTCCCTTTGTTATAGGCAGGGTTTTGCAATGCTCCTCAAATTATATTATGTGAGATGTCAGCTGGGGCCTCCTTCAGATATAAGCCTTCGTCTCAGATTTGCAGAGTCTGGGGTAAGAGTACCAATGGAAGCTTCTGTCTACACCCTTTCTCTTCCCACCCCGGGCTCCTTCCAACACCAGGAGGGCTCACATGTATGAATGAGTAATCTTAGAGTCCGACACTCAACTTATATCCACATCCCTGTTACCAAATCTCCTTAGCTACTCCTTTGGCCTGGAAGTATACACAGTAGTGGGGTGATCCACTCTTCAGAGGGTCTTAGGCAAGAGACCTGTGCAGGCCTAGGAAACCAGCTTGAAACCATTTGGACAGGGGATTCCAGAATCCCATGAAGGACACGTGTCCCAGATGTGCATATCACTGACTCTGTAAACTCCTTACACCAAAGGGAAGGTCCCAGCTGGAGGAGAGTCAGAAGGGGGCCCTCTGAAGTAGAGGGCCCAGAATATGGACCTTGGTCAGCTGGATCTGGAATAGAGCTAATCAGATTTAGGCAAACTTAATTTAAACTCCCCCTGCAAACCCAAAGCTTCCTGCATAAATCTGTAATTTCTCAGGGTTTGTATATTCATGGTCCCCTAATCTCCAGCTGAAAACAATTTCTGTTTTGCCTCACACCAACCCAAACTTGAAATGCCACCACTTGACAAATTTTTAGGAAAAACTATTCTTGCACCAAACATCATATTTTTAGTTAATTCTACTGAAGACTTGCATGTTGAACAGCTCTCTTTATATAAAAAAAGAGTTTGGCAAATGGAATGTGTGCCAAACACTCCCCTTTTATATCCAAGGAGCAAAACGAATTCTATTCCTATGTCATAAAAAAGATTTGGGAGTGTTGTGTGTGTATAAGATTGCAAGACATGTGTGTCTATACACAAACACACATGTAACTAAAGTTTACTAGAACAGAAACAGACACATGGGGTTCAGCTAAGGCAAATTAATTGCCGAACAATCAACTGAAGATCTCGAGGGCACAGAGGATCCCCTGGGATGCTGATTCCTCTGTCCTAAGTCCCAGTTAGAGTTGTTTCCCTTGGACTCCACAAAATGTTTCTGATGAGAAACACCATTACCCGATCACTACCTTTATTTGAGCTAGCTAGAATTTCCATTCCTTGCAAAAACTACTGGTTTGCTTTTCACTGTTTTTAAATGAGACTTAGAGAAATTGTGGCTTGCCCAAGGCAAGCATCTACTTATGGTTGGACCACAAATAAAACAACACACATGACTACAATCGCTGTGCTCTTTCCCACTTACTCACTTAAAGCCACAAGTTCATTAGATACTATGGGAGATCAGGTCATGATTTAGCAAATATCCACTGCCTCTCTGACCCACTCCATGGGAAGGGTCTATCTCCCTGCTCCTACCTTTCATCCCAAGAAACACATGCTTCAGTTATCCACTGCTCCAAAGACTTGGAGAAGCACATAAGGTAGATGAGCTCAATATGCCACTGGCAGTAAGCTCAGCCAGACCCAGTTTTAGATCAGCTGAATCTAGACAACTTGTAGGTACATGAATAAAAACCAAATGCTTACTTCTGTGTACCTTGAGCCTTGGGTGGTTTGTCACATGGATTTTTATGTAGACTTAGCTCTTATACAGGTACATAATCCACCTTCCAAGATACTGCAAGCAACAGGTTTACCAAATGTTTCTCCACGGAATAATGGGAGACATCAAGAATTTTAAGAAACAAAACAGATGAACATAGAAGGGAAAGAAAATTAAAATAAGATGAAAACAGAGAGGGAGGCAAACCATAAGAGACTCTTAACTATAGAGAACAAACCGAAGGTTGTTGGAGGGGAGGTGGAGGGAGGATGGGGTAATTGGGTGACAGGCATTAAGGGGGGCACTTGAGCACTGGGTGTTGTATGCAACTGATGAATCACTAAATTCTACCTCTGAAACTAATAATACAGTATATGTTAATTAAATTGAATTTTTTTAAAAAATAAATTAAAAAAAAACAAACAGAAGTTTCCTTGCTGTGGGAATGCTTAACCTGAAAGCCAATGGCACACATCGTGGATTTTCTATTATAGTCCAGTTCTGGTACCAATATTTTTATTAGTGAGCTTTAGTCATTTATGCTGTAGCAATAAACTACTCAAAAATCTTGGTGGCTTACACAAAACAAAGTTTTATATCTCACTGACCTTCTCACTGGCTGCAGTTCTTTACCATGGATCTTCTTCATTCTGAGATCCAGGCTGAAGGAGAAGCCCCTCCCTGGAACATATTATTCTTGCAAAAGAAGGAAAGGAGCAACACAACTGGGTGATTTCTTTGAAGGCTTCTGCTCAGACATAGCCTGCAACAATTCTGCTCACATTCCATTTGCCAAATGCAAGTCCCACAGCCAAAGTTCATCTATGGGGTGGGTATGTGCAGTCTTCTCAAATAGGTCCAGAGTAACCACCTGAAAAAAAAATTGAAGAGTAACTAATTGAGAACAGGAACACTATGATACCCACAAACAGCAACCTCTTCATCATCCTTCAAGAAGCAGCTCAAGAGTCATCTCAGTATCACTCTGTGGGGATGTCTCTCTGCCCTTTCTGTCTACAGCATATATAGAAATGTGGAGACTTAATACAAAATACTTTTAGGACAATGTACTGTCTAATCCTACTACTTAGGGAGCATTTTGAGGGCAGGGACCATCCTTTATTTTATTCCATTTTCAGGACTGAACACAGTCCCTGGAACCTCATGTATATTGCTCAATTAATGCCTTTTTTAAATTACACAATAATACATGGGCCTAATCACGAGATCTAAGGGATATTAGGAGATAATTATTCAGAAAGAGAGGAAGGAAGACCGGAAACTGAGTTTTGTACTTTTTAAGCTGATATCTGTATTTTTATCTATAAATAGATATACAAGGAGAAATATAAGGTAGACAAATAATTTTTTAAGCCTCAAGTTTGGGAGACATGTCCAGAGTGGAAGTACAAATTTGGCAGTCATCAGCACATAGGCAACGTCTAAAGCTTTGAGACTGGGTGGTAAGATCTCGGGAGAGAATGGAGAAAGAGAGGATGTTCAGACATATTCCCCATTTCTCATCTCAGTTCTTCACCTACCTAGAGTCAGAACTTCAACTGTTTCCTTGGACAAGCCCATTGATATCTCTCGAGTGGATCTCCTGAGAGGTCAGTCTTGAGTGACCATGTCTTTTTCCTTGGAGTGGGAGTATATACTCAGTCTCAAAACTCTTATTTCATCCTCTTTTTACCCTTAGGCTTGTGTCAGCATAGGACTTGGCTCTATTCTTAGAAAGACCTTCAAAGTGCATTCCCTCTCACCCTTGGACTCCTGTTGCATGCATCATCCCTATCACATGTCTGCCACTCCCTTCCCTCCTCCTTCCCCATTCACCATGTTGGTAGAATGTCAGACTTGGATTGAATAGGTAATAAGGACCAGGCATGACAATAGATGCTTTGCATATACTATCTCATTCCATCCTCACCACAACTTGGTAAGGTAGACATTGACCCAATTTACTGACATCATATCTGAAGCTCAGAGAGGTTAAGTAACATGACTAAAGTCACAGCTAGCAAAGGGCAGGACTTTTGAATGGTATCTCTGAGTGAAGATTCCATGCTCAATGCAAGCCACTAAGCTCCCTCAAACATAAGAAACCCTTGGGAGCTGGTCTTCTGGAAGGAGATACCAATATTTTGAAGCTAAAGAAACACACACACACAATAGACAGACATGATAGATGATAGATAGATACATAGATAAATACATAGATGATAGATGATAGAGGATAGATATAGATAGATAGATAGATAGATAGATAGATGATAGATAGATAGATAGATAGATAGATAGATAGATAGATAGATGATAGATAGATAGATAGATTTAGAATTTAAAAAGAACTCACTGCATAGATCCCTATTTCTTAAATAGGAGATGATGAACAGCATAATTTAATCATTCCTTCATACATTTATTTGATGCCTACTCTCTGCCCTGCATCATGTCAAGAGCAGTGTTTTTATACTAAACTTATTTCAAATTAATTTTTGTCCTTCAAAACTCTTAAGAATTTGTGACCTAGCTGAAGGGGATAAGAAAATTCCATGTGTTCACATGCATACACATGTATGTATGAAACAAGGAAAGATTATATTAAGAGGAATAGGGTAGGGGCGCCTGGGTGGCTCAGTTGGTTAAGCGACTGCTTTCGGCTCAGGTCATGATCCTGGAGTCCCAGGATCGAGTCCTGCATCGGGCTCCCTGCTTGGCAGGGAGTCTGCTTCTCCCTCTGACCCTCCCCCCTCTCATGCTCTCTCTCTCTCATTCTCTCTCAAATAAATAAATAAAATCTTTAAAAAAAAAAAGAGGAATAGGGTAATTTTACATGTTGAAGACGTTCTAATTTGGAAGGCACTTTTACCTACATTATGTCATTTGGTCCTCACAATAATCACTATTTCCCAGGTGAAGAAAGGAGGCTTGGAAAATTACAATGCTTTGTGGGATATTACACAACACTACATGCTATAGCTGGGAAATAAAATCCAGGTTCTAACCCAATGTTCTCAACTGTAACATGATGCTGACTCAGCACAAGTAAAGTCTCTCCTATTCTTTAAGACTTCTGGGAAAGGAGACCCCACTTCCTCCCTTTGACACTCAGGATCCCATCTCCTTAGTCAAAATGGAGTCCTGGTGTTCATTTTTGCTAAGCTGGGCTGTTGGGTTTGGCTGGGTGTCACCTGAGGGAGGGGTGGCAAGCGAGAGAATGTGTCTACTTTGCAGCTCTTGCCAGCCCTGGAGAGCTAACATTTTCTAAAAGAATGCTGGGTTCTCAGAAACACTATTGATAATGAGGTTGCTCATTTTTAAAATGCTGTAACCAGATATGCTAGGAAAACAGACCTGGTTCCAGGAGTATAGCCGTGGTGTTTGGGTTTAAGGTCAGAGGCAGTTGTTTAAGATGAGCTTTGAGTTGGCCTGCCGACCTGCCACAGGACTGAGACAAGCCTGCACAATCAGGCCATTGTACTCACAGAGAAATCGCAGGGCACTTCAGAGCCTAAACCTAACACATTTTAAAGTGGGCTTTTCACCCCAGGGACCCTGATGAGAATGAAGTGCGAGCATGCATGTGCATGCATGTGAGTGTGCATGTGTGTGAGTGTGTGTTTTGAACCAGAGGAAACCAGTCCAGGGATTACATGGAATCCCCTCAAGCCTCAGTCAGACTTAGAGAACAGTGCAAATGCATTTGGCGTGAAGAAGAAAATCCAAAGCCAATGGCGAACAGGGTGGCACAGAGCACTCTTCCAGGCATGGCAAAGATGCAATTTTCCCAGAGGCAAAGTTTTGCTTTGTTCAGGGCATGGGGCTCAGCAGAGTAACATCCAAAGACTCGCACACCAAGAACAGGTCCCTGGCTCTGTGTAGAGAGCCACAGTTCAGTGTGAGTGGATCACCAATAGGTCATGTGGGCCCCTGCCTCCTGGACCGTATTCTTTCCTTCATACCCTCACCCCACAGGCATGGATCTAAGTGTTGAACACGTTCTAGCATATTTAACTCTCACATAGCCCCAAGTGGTAGACTCTGGTAAGTATCCTTATTTTACAGATGGGAGACAGAGACACAGAAGACTCTTGAGGAGTAAGTAGAGGAGCTGGGATTCCACCCTTCAGCTCCAGAGGTCTCCACTCAACCCCAAGCCAAGCCTCCAGACTAGATCCAAACTAGATTCTCCATCCCCCGCCTGGACATGCAGTCCCTCATGGAGGTCATGCCAGAAAGATAGCTTCCTTTTCTTCCATCTAATAGCACCAATGAGGGTCAGAAACCAAGATGAACCTCCATTCTAGGGCTTGTCTTTGAGTCCCTGAAGACCACCATCTCTTAGCATTACATTGCCAAGAGTTTTAAAAACCTGCCGATCCTTAAAAGTTTACCAACCAAGGGGGGATGAGCAAGATGGCAGAGGAGTAGAGATCTAAATTTCATCTGGTCCCAGGAATTCAGCTAGGTAGAGATCAAACCATTCTGAACACCAATTAATTCAACAGGAGATCGAAGAAAAGAATAGCAGCAACTCTCTGAACAGAAAAACACACTCACACACATGCACACTCACATGCATGCACACGCATGCTCACACTTCATTCTCACCAGGATCCCCGGAGGTGAAAAGCCCACTTTAAAATGTGTCAGGTTTAGGCTCTGAGGCGCCCTGCGATTTCTCTGTGAGTACAAAGGCCTGATTGTGCAGGCTTGTCTCAGTCTTGTGGCAGGTCGGCAGACCAGCTCAAAGCTCGTGGAAGGTAGGATATGCATGCAGAGAAGTGAATGCAAGGGGATATTCGGGAAGATAGAAGGCGGGGGAGGGGGCCTCCGTCAGCCAAACTGGCAAGTGATAGAACAGCAGAGCACAAAATTGGATTTTTTAGAAGTCTGCTCCGCTGAGGGTACATCACTCAGTGGCTAAGTGGGGGGTGGAACCCTCGCTGGGACACTATGGTCTCAGGACCCTCGGGGTCACAGAAGATGGGGGGTGCCTGAGTGCAGCAGAGCTCCCAGGTATCAGAGCAGGGAAGCCGGCTGCAGAGAGGGAGCCAAGGAGTGGGCTCTCAGCTCCGGTTGCCATAAACCATGATCTGTGGCACAGTTGGGCCACTGCTCTTCCAGCAGGGACCCAATAAGCGGCAGATCTGGAGAGACTCCCCTTCCTCCCCCAGGAGGAGTGACGCGGAAGCACACCACAGGGATCTGCTGGGTGTGGGGTAGTGTGCCAGAGATAGAAATGCTCGGTCACAGGCCAGTGAGCACAGAGTGTGGCCGGAGACTGAGGAGATGGGAGTGATTGACTGCTTTTCTCTGGGGGCTCACTGAGGAGTGGGGTCTGAGTTCTCAGCTCCTCTGGGGTGGAGATTGGGAGGCCACCAATTCACTCTTGTCCTCCAAAGATGTACGGAAAGCTTGCAGGGAACAAAAGCTCCCCAGAGCAAAACCAAGCAGATTACTTAATCTGGACCTGGCAAGGGCAGGGTAATTTTGCCTCCGGCAAAGACATCTGAGAACCACGGCAAAGGCCCCTCCCCCAGAAGATCAGCAAAAACAGCCAGCCAAGACCAAGTTTACCGATCAATGAGAATGGCAGAACTCCAGCGCTAAGGGAATACTGCACATAGAATTCATGGCTTTTTTCCCATGATTCTTTAGTCTTTCAAAGTTAATTTTTTTTAACTTTTTTTTTTTTTTGAATTTTTCTTTTTCCCTTTTTCAACCAACATCTTATCAATCCCTTTTTTAAAAAACATTTTTATTTTTCATTTTTAGAGTCATATTCCATCCCTTTATTGTAGTTAACCTTATTTTTGGTATACATATATAAGTTGTTCTCTCTTTAAAGATTTGGGATACAGTTTC